CGGCGGCGGAGGTGGGGGCGGAGGAGGCAAACGGAGCACAGGTGGCGGCGGTGGCGGAGGCAGCGGCGACGGCGGCGGAGGCGGCGGCGGCGGCGGCGACGGCGGCGGCGGCGGCGGCGGCGGCGGCGGCGGCGGCGGCGGAGGCGGCGGAGGCGGCGGAGGCGGCGGAGGCGGCGGAGGCGGAGGGTGCGGAGGGTGCGGAGGGTGCGGCGGGGGAGGGTGCGGCGGAGGCGCGTGACGTGGAGGCAGAGGTGCGTGCGAGGGTAGGCCGGTGGGAGAGGGGGGAGGCCTCTCCGTCCCGCGAGTGGGAGGAGGAGGGCGGCGAGGAGGAGGGTGCGGCGCCGCCGTCGCGCGGCGGCTTGCAACTCCCTCCTCGGCCCGAGAGGCAGCTCCCCTTTGTGTACGACCCGGCCAAGCTGCCTCCGCTGCCCGTGCTCGACGACCGCGGCGTCGCAAACTGCCCCGAGCAGCACCCCCCCTCCGCGTGGCAGCACCACCCCGCGGTCGGCGGCAGTGGTCCCCCTGACCGCCGCCTACCCGCGCCGAACCACCACCACCACCCGCCCCCGCCCCCGCCTCCGCCTCCTCCTCCGCCCGAAAAGGAGCTGACGCCCGAGGAGCTGGCGGAGAGGGAGGCGGCGCAGCGGTGCGCGCGGCCTCCGAGGGGCAGACACGTCCGCAGACACGTCCGCAGACACGCGTCCACCGACACGTCCCGCAGGCGCGCGGCCTTCGAGGCCGAGTTCGACCGGCGCGCAAAGCAGCTCGGGGACGCGCCTCCCGAGGCGCGGGTCGACCACATCGGGTACGGCTCCGAGGGGTGGAAGCAGCGGTACTACACGCTCAAGCTGGGCGCCGCCAGCGCGGCCGAGCGCGCCGCCGTGTGCGAGGAGTACGTGCGCGGCCTCTGCTGGGTGCTCCGCTACTACTACCAGGGGGTGCCCAGCTGGGAGTGGTTCTACCCGTACCACTACGCGCCGCCCGCCTCGGACCTCGTCGGGATGGGCGGGCTCGAGCGGGTCAAGGAGCTCCTCTCCTATGAATTAATCACTTAATTAACTACTAATTAATAGGCGGGCTCGAGCGGGTCAAGAAGATCGTGCCGGGCGAGCCCTTCTCGCCGCTCGAGCAGCTCATGGCGGTGCTGCCGCCCCGCTCGGCGGCGCACGCCCTGCCCTCCGTCTACGCGCAGCTGATGGAGCCGGGCTCGCCGCTCGCCCACCTCTACCCGCTCGACTTTCGGCAGGACCTGAACGGCGCGCCCTCGCGGGGGGCGGAGGGCGGGCCCTAATGA